ATTACTTATGTCTTTTCAGAGTACTGTAGTTTATTATGAGATGCATGCTTGTCCTGTTTATTCACTTCTCTCATATATCTTGTGCTTAGTATTGTTGGACTATAAAATATAGGGGGAGTGTTGATCCGAATGTGTGTGTCGTGCCATTTCTTGGTGCACACATTCTGGGGGAGCCCGTCTATATTTTGTAGTTCTTAGTTTTCTTTGTTTTATTTCTTTTCCTTGCGCAAATCCCTAGTTGTTATCAATCCACCAAAAAAGGGGAGATTGTTACGGCATATCTCTCTCAAGGTAATTTTGGTGATTGATGACAACATGTTTGCGGACTAATCTTGTGCTTTGTATAATTCACAGATTCTCCCCTGGCACGAGATGCTTTCTTCCCCTCGGAGTGTATTTCAAGACGGTGTAGCTCTTTCGTTTCTTTCTCGGTGGACTAGTTGCGTAGAGGGCACCGTACTATCAAGAGGGGGTCCGCTGGGGTTTTGCTTGGGTGAAATCATCACGTACACATCAGCTTCTCACCCTCCATGCATCTCCATTCCATTGAAAAGATATTTCCTCTCTTCCTTGTCTTGTCTGGGTCCAAGTGGTAGTACCGCACACCCAACGGTAGTATCGCTGAGGAGCCAAGCGGCAGTACCGCACACCCAACGGTAGTACCGCTGAGGAGCCAAGCGGCAGTATCTCCACAGCGGTAGTACCGTCCGTGGCTCCACAGCAGTAGTACCGCTGGGGGCCTGGCACCTCCGCCTTGTCCTCAGCATCTTTGAGAGATTCTCTCTCTCTCGCGCGCGCCCAAGTGGTAGTACCGCAATGCCTGCGGTAGTACGGCCGAAGGGTCACAAGCGGCAGTACCGCTCCACAGCGGTAGTACCGCCCGTGACCCCGCTGTCGTAGTACCGCTGGTCAGTCTGGCTCCTACCGCCTCGATTCGAGAGGTCTTTTTCTCGTGTCGGGTTTTACGGCACTAGTTGCGGTTGTAGAGGCGGTAGTACCATTCCAGGAGCGGTAGTACCGCCCCTACCATCGCGGTAGTACCGCGTTTGGGTCTTTTCCCTACTAGTCTCCTCAGCGCGGCAGTACCGCTATCCTGGCGGTAGTACCGCCCCCTCTCAGCGGTAGTACCGCCCTGTGCGGGGCTGGTTGGTGGGGGGCAACAGGATTGTTGCCCCCACTATAAAAGGGAGTCCCCTTCTTCTCTCTCACTTATCTCTTCCTCCCCCAAGCTACATTTATTGCTCAAGCTCCATTAAATGCTCCAAGCTCCATTTTCGCCCGATCTATCTCTCTAGCCAATCAAACTTGTTGATTTGCTCGGGAGTGGTTGAGAAGGCCCCGATCTACAATTCCACCAAGGGATTTTCGATTCCCCCACTCATCCCTAGCGGATCTTGTTACTCTTGGGTGTTTGAGCATCCTAGACGGTTGAGGACACCACGGAGCCATAGTCCATTGTGGTGAAGCTTCGTGGTCTTGTTGGGAGCCTCCGATTAAGTTGTGGAGATTGCCCCAACCTTGTTTGTAAAGGTTCGGTCGCCGCCTTCAAGGGCACCAATAGTGGAATCACGACATCTCGCATTGTGTGAGGGCGTGAGGAGAATACGGTGGCCCTAATGGCTTCTTGGGGAGCATTGTGCCTCCACGCCGCTCCAACGGAGACGTACTTCCCCTCAAAAGGAAGGAACTTCGATAACACATCCTCGTCTTCACCGGATCCACTCTTGGTTATCTCTTACCTTTACTTGTGCAAGCTCTTTAGTGTTTCTTCACGTGCTTGCTTGTATGCTTGTTGTTATTGCATCATATAGGTTGCTCACCTAGTTGCACATCTAGACAACCTATTTTGATGCAAAGTTTAATTTGGTAAATAAAAGTAAAAATTGGTAGTTGCCTATTCACCCCCCCCCCTCTAGTCAACCATATCGATCCTTTCATCTGGCCACCCGGATCCCGGAGACGATCCGGCTGACATATCTGGCGACACAGATCCCGAGGGGGATTTGTTCCCCTGGTTGGAGCACATGAAATATGGCTCTGTACTGGGTATTTCCACATCGTTTTGACTTCTGTTTTTTCTGTATAGTCTCCTGCATCATCACAAGGCTCACACAAGGTATTAGGAGGGCCAGTCAACATTGAATCATCACAGTTATTGCCCCCTTGATCGGACCCGACTAGATATGACGGTAAAAGGAGAATCTCTTTGCGAAGAAGTGCATTGGCATTGGGGTGAAGGTCGGCAAAGGGGAACTTTGTCTCATCAAAGACAACATCGGGAGAAATATAGACCCGTCCAGTAGACACATCAAGACATTTTACGCCCTTGTGTTGAGCACTATACCCAAGAAAGACACACTGTTTCGAGCGGAACATGAGTTTGCGATTGTTGTAAGGTCGAAGATTAGGCCAACAGGTGCAACCAAAAACTCGAAGAGACTTGTAATCATGTTTGGTGTGAAGGAGTCTTTCTATGGGAGTTTCATTGTGAATGACTCGACTAGGAAGCATGTTTATGATGTGTACAGCAGTGAGAAAAGCTTCATCCCAAAATTTAAGAGGCATAGAGGCACTGGCTAGGAGAGCTAGACCCACTTCAACAATGTGGCGATGCTTGCGCTCAGCCGAGCCGTTTTGCTGGTGAGCATGTGGACAAGACACATGGTGAGAAATACCCAGTGTTTGGAAGAAGGAATTTAGTTTTTCGTATCCCCCCCCCCCAGTCTGACTGTACAGCAATGATCTTGCTGTTGAACTTTCTTTCAACGAGTGCTTGAAAGTTTTGAAACACTTGGAAAACCTCGGATCATTTCTTGAGAAGATAGATCCACGAGAATTTGCTATAGTCATCAATAAAGCTGACGTAATATGTGTGTCTACCAACCGAACAAGGGGCAGGACCCCAAACATCCGAGAAAATTAATTGTAAGGGCTGAGTAGAAACACTAGTAGAAATAGGATACGGTAATTGATGACTTTTTGCTCTTTGGCAGGAATCACAAATGGTTTCAACATGACGCTCACCAACAAACGGGAGCTTATTCTTTCTAAGCAAACGTTCTACTAAGGAAAAAGAAGCATGTCCTAGACGATCATGCCATCATGTGGAGGAAAGCTTGACAGCACCATGGGCTTGTTTATTGAATCTTCTGAACTCCGAAAGCAATGGGTAGAGCCCGCGAACACATCTACCTCGATATAGGATTTTCCTCGTGGCCTGATCCTTAATCAAGAAGAAAAAAAGGATGAAACTCAATGAAGACATGATTGTCAAGTGCTATTCGATGAACAGAAAGGAGATTTTTGTTGGCACTAGGGACATGCAGAATTTTCCTAAGGTGGATTTTACGATGAGGGGTATGTATAACTGAATGACCAATATGACGGATCCTCATACCTGCCCCACTCGCGGTGTGAATTTGGTCCTTGCCGGGGTACTTCTCATGGAGGGTTACTTTCTCAAGTTCACCCGTGAGATGGTTGGTGGCGCCGCTGTCGAGGTACCAGTTTGTGTCGACGCCGTAGGCACCATCAGCAACGACAACGACCTTTTTCTCATCTTCGGACGAAGCCTCATCTTCTTCAAAACGGTACCAGCAGTCTTTAGTCGAGTGCCCGAGTTTACCACAGATCTGGCAACGCACGGCATCCGGGCGAGACCTGCTATTCCCGCCGCGGCGACCCCTAGTGTTGTTGGAGGAGGGGCGCCCGCCACGGGAGTTGGAGCCGCTGGTGTTGCTGCCACCGCCACCGCCCGGCCTGCCCTTGGAGCGAGGGGGACCACGGTAGCAAGAGGAGGAGCCGCCATGGCCACGGGTCGTGGCGTTGGCAGAAGATTTGAAGCCGCCCGACCCTTGGTATATGGCCACCCGTTGATCGAAGTTACTCAACATAGAGAAGAGTTCATCGAGAGATACCGGGGTGGTGCGGACGTCGAGGGCAGAACCAAGGGCTGGTACTCCATGTCGAGGCCGTGAAGGATGTAGCTGATGAGTTCGCCGTCCTGCAGAGGCTTGCCGGCGGCCGCCAGCTCATCGGCGAGGCCACGCATGTGGGCGAAGAAGGTGGCGACCGATTGGGTGCCCTTCTGCGCGCTGAGCAGGGCCGTGCGTATGTTATTGACACGGCTCAAAGACTGCGAGGAGAACATATCTGCGAGCGTCGTCCAGAGCGTGCTCGCCGTGGTGATCGTGGTCACCTGCAGCAGGACCTCTTTGGTGAGGGTGCTGAGGAGATAGCCCAGCACCTGCTGGTCCTCCCGGACCCAGAGATGGTGGAGAGGGTTGGGCTCAGAGGTTTCCTTCCCATCCTTATCTTTGGTGGTGAGGAACTTGGCCGGCTCCGGTGTTGTGCCTTCGGCGTAGCCAAAGACTCCCGCGCCCCTGAGCTGCGGCGTCACCTGCGCGCCAGAGGACATAGTTGGTGCGGGTCAGCTTCTCCGTGACTTGGCCGCTGAGGTTGGTCTGGGAAGCGCCGGAGGAAGACATGGCTGGAGATTGGATCGCTAGATGGCTTTGGAGAGGATCGCTCTGATTACCATGTGCGATATGCGGAAACGCCTTGTCCTCGGTGCGAGGGAGCGTGGTACGTGTTATAGGCAGGGGCGCAACAACCCTGTAGCGCATACATGAGATCTTACAGGAGACTTGGAGAGGAAGGGATAGAGTAGGTTACAATAGATAGATATCAACTAACTACCTAGCCTATCTCCTGGTGGACTCCTAGACTCCTGGTGCGGCGCATGAGAGAGAGGCCAACGTGACAGGTTGATAAGTTGTTTGACAAGCTGCATGCATCCTTGGATGCAGAGGCCAGGGGTTTCAACCTCCTTTTCAAAAAAAGAAGACAAGCTTACATGCTAAAAGGGAATAAAGAGGATGTCCTTCCATTCTCATTCTCCAATTGAGCAAGCACACAGGAGCAAATTACCGATACGGCACCAAATTACTAATAACCAAGAAAGATAACGTGAATTGTACAAATCATAAAACAAGCCTCACCTAAACTTTGCCAAACGATTCATACAACTCGCTGCAGCATGAGAATTATAATCTCTTATAAGAATAGAGAACATGCCCTCGTTATTCCCATTACCTGCAGATAAAAATCCAATAAAACTTTGTTTGCTTCGAAATATGTCAAGAAATATGAAAATTCAAAAATTAGCACAGGCGAACAGTGATTTTTACAAACATGGATGACAAAAGGCACATCATTTATTATATGTGGTTTATGGAGTGCTTCATGAGACTAAAACATGTCAGAGTTATGGCTGAGTAACAAAATCCTAAAGAAGAAGGAAACATTCAAAGAACGCAGTACACATTGTTCTAGAATCTAGAATGACCTGGATACAGGATACCCATAATAAAATCGGTGCTCAGATACAATCATGCAATACTTTGTTTCAGACAGCAGATAACTTGGAACGTTCAAGGACCCATCCTAAGCTTTCTCAAATTACATCCTAAACTTTGCATAGAATTTCCCAATTTAATTTGTAATAGGCAAAAGATTATCATTGCAGAGTTAAGTTAAACTTTCTACAGAAGTGGAGCACGGTAAGGTGGACTAATCACAGGTTCGCTTCTTTAGCTGCTCAGGTGGGACGTGCATAGCTCATTTTATGAGTCAAGATGAAATAGTACCATTCCAACATCAAATAAACAATTTTCATTACTCAGGAATGTAAAACAATACGAAGCATTATAATGAAAAAGAAAAATACTGCTGTACAAACAGAACAGTTTATTAGGAAGATGCATACAAAACTACAATAGCAGTTCAGCCTTCTAACCCCAAGCAATGGTTCTTGAGATGAATCATGAAATCAGAAATCAAAATAATCTTATTAAAGGCATTTTTAGCAAAGCCATCACTAGTTTTCTCACCCAAAGTTTTCTTGCCAACTTGCCCACATAAAAGCTCACTGTTTCGGAAGTAGACAAAACCATCATTCGGACACATTGTCTCTTCCAAAACTGTAATCGCCTTTTTGTCACGTTCTTTAAGTTTCATGTAAATTTTCTCTTCAACGGTAAGATTCAGAAACACCTTTGTACACGCGTTAGGACGTACTAACACACTGAATAACTGCTTGCCCGTCCAAAGCTCAATAGGCTGCAAAAAAAGAACATGGTCAATATTCATACATGGGTCAAAACTTTAGTAAGAAGGCTAACATGGACAAACATGCATACGGAAAAAAAAGGATTTCACAGAGGAAAATAAAAATGATGCTTTATTTTGTTGTCTTTTGTTATGCATAGAAAAAGGTATTAGTAATAACTCGTCTAATAGACCAAACTAGTTATTATACGTAGAGAGCACACGAGCAAGGATGTCTCATTTCCTATATTAGTTTTCAACAATATTCTACTAGCTCATTTACCATGCATCTCCTCTTAACTACACCAGTAGAAGCACAAACAACACAATTTTTTACAGAACCAAATTTATATTTGCAATGAACATTAAATCGAGGATAACATGTAGCCACAGAAAACTAGTTGAAAAATATTACCTTAATTAAGGCTGGTGTTGGGAGATCAATATATTCCATTGCATCACCAAGATATGAACACAAGAGAGTAAAATAAGACCTGTCATAGAAGGTATCTTTCCTTGTGACTAGAAAAGACGAGGTCAAAAAGTCTTGTGTGGAAGCAACCAGTATTTCTCCATTCTTAGGGGTACATAGATTATTCTGAACCTGCAAAAAATAAATATTTGTTACCAAATCAGTTTTGTGCATCAAAAAGCATAACAAAAACGTTAAACTGTAGCAAAGAAGAGTTAGCAAGTGCTACCCCCATAAGCATCAATGCTTCAGTACGAGCTTCCTCTGTCTGTGGGACATGCAAATTCATCTCATCTCCATCAAAATCAGCATTATAAGGGTTACAAACAGACTCATTAAATCTTAATGTTCTCCAGGGCATTATCCTTGCCTGTATTTAAATACAAATGTAATGAAACGTTAGACAAATTATTTAGTACAACAAGTAATGGTGTGGTATGGAGCAATTTGTACCCTGTGTGACATAATTGACATTCTATGCAAGCTTGGTTGTCTGTTGAAGAGGACAATGTCCCCATCTTCTAAATGCCTTTCGACTATACAGCCATACTTCAAATCCCGTGCGGCGATCCTTCTATCAGCATACTTTAAGTGCCTAAATGTAGTCCAGGGCAATATATGAGAGCTGCTTGAAAAGAAGCAGAATTTCAAAAAACAAATACAACTTACAGCTTTGTTCCATCAGATTGTATTATAAAATTTGCCCCTGGATGTTTATTTGGTCCATTTTGTATACATTGGCGCAGCTTCTCTATGTTATGATATGAAACTCGTTCAGGATAAGTCAAGACTCGAGCCATCAAAACAGGAATAGCCACCTGAAGTTCGAATTAATAATGACATGAAAAATCAATTGGAGGGTGAAAATAAATAGCATCGGTAACCTATGGACAAGTACCTCTGTTATTCTCAAATTTGGGTCAGGAGATATGACAGTCCTCCCAGTGTACTCAGTACGTTTCCCAGACAAGTTCCCACGAAATCGACCTGTCTTCCCTTTGAGTCTTTGCATAAGGCCACGATGTTGTGAATCAGAAAGAGAGGGGGCATCACTGTTGATATATTCAATAACTTGGAGTTGAAGGTCTTGCCAGGAATTCTTCAAAGAAACAAAGAAGAAAATTGTGTTAGAGTATCTCAACAGAAATGGCACTTTGATTAGTCGAATATAAGTACTACAACAACAACAAAGCCTTTAGTCCCAAACAAGTCGAATAGAAGTACTACCAGAGTGAAAATGATCACAATGCAAATTGTGCAGCATAAATACAACATCAAATTTATTTCTAAGTTTGTATAATCTAATTAAGAATGTGTAGAATAAATTATCAATTAAAATATCAGAATTACAGAACCCTTTGAATGGTGAAGTTGATGATGCACCAGTCACCAGCCAATACAGGAAGAACAATAGGAAGTCATAAGTCACAGTTGAAGTTATTAGTTCAAAATATTCAATTTTGTTGGCACAGTTTATCTATTTTCAACTCAGACCTTAAATCATTATATCCTGAACAGCACTTCCATAAAGCCAACAAAAATTTATACTGCGTCTGGAGCAGAACTCATCATCTTATCCAACGAAACAATCAGTTCTGGCCTTGGGAATTACATGAACATATAGAGGCAGACTAATTTCTAAAATGTAATGAAAAAGAAATCAGAGAACACAAAAGTCGCCCTCCACAGAGGTGAAAGAGAAATGGTACTAAATATAAGAGAATGTTGGAAAAACAAATGAAGTGCTCTGAGTTATCTTACAAAGCAATTCACGGGTGATTCGCCTTTTTTAAGGGCCTCTTTAATTATGTGATTTGCAGTAACAATATTCTTCAATATGCAAGTAATACTATGTTCATTGCTGCAAGAAGCAAAGACATTAGTGGCATTTCAATGGCACGTGGCTATGCTGAAACACCATTACAGAGAACAAACCTCATTTTATTACCACCAACAAAAACAGAAGGACGGATGGGCACAGGTGGCACTGCAATCTCTGTAATGATAAGTTTCTCGGGTCTGTCACCAAGGTTCAGCAGTTCACAGTCCTGAAGTATGACAAAACCAATCAAGCAAGAGAACCTATGTTTGATAAATTGTGGTACTCTACCGAAAGTAACAAGTACTCCTGTAACATGACAAACGACATCTACCTCATCAGTCATTCTTGTGAAAAGAGCGAGGACGGTTTGAGGGTCTAACAGGTGAACAGAAGGAAAGGATAGTTTTTCTTTCTTGTGTGATAAAGCAGACCGAAGTTCTTCTGTAGTTCTGTCCAAAGTTTTGCTACAGTCATGAACAATTGCCAAGCCTCCTCTGTCCTTTGGCCCCTTCTTAGTTACACCTGTACATGCAACCCAAAATAGAAGGTTAAGTTCTAAAAGCTGTCAGGTCAGGTGTTTATTACTATGTACTAGTATTTTTCAAGTGATGAGCAACATAAGAAAGATAAAAGAAGCATTAGAAGTAAGCTTGCCATTCATGTATCCACACCAGTGGCAACGGCATGGCCTGCATTTGTCCCTAACTTTACTCAGGATGACGCTTTTGTGCAGTACTTCTGCTCTCAGATTCCTCATCCTCTTCAAAAACTCTTGGCGGTCTTTCTCCGAAAGAAGAACCCTGCTGCAGCGCTGCAAAGGCATCGCATCGTGAGGAGTGGTTAAGGAAAGGAAAAACTAAAACATGATCAGACATATAAGGAAAAAAACATTGCCTTGCAGATGCACTTCAACACATTGACGGTACTGTTGAAGAATCCGACATTGAAAACCGGAAGCGCGAGCTTGATGTAACCGAAATGGCCCGGGCACTCGGTGTATGAACCGTGGCAAGTTGTGCACTCCCCAAACTTGTTTGCAGCTCCCTGAAATTTGTCACGATATATCACAGAAATCTTCCATTGGCTCATTTATTTCACAAGGAAGACTTTTATTCATCGGCTGGCAAAAATTTGTTGAAATGTCATAACAAGAGCCCAGCCCTCTAATTACAACTATATGCCACACAAGTATTGTTCAGTAAGACAATGCATTGCACACAC